CCCGTCGGTAGATGGCCGCCTCATGCGGGCTTTGCTCGAAGCCCATCCCCTTTAGCGTGGAATCCAACTTGGCATTCCACGCCACCGGTGCCTGCCGCAAGCCATAGAGGGCCTTGCGCAGGCGGAGCACCTTGCCCTCCTTGCCGGGGATCGCAAATCCCGGCGGCTGGTGCACGTAGACCTCCTCCTTCAAGTCGCCGTTAAGGAACGCCGACTTGACGTCCATGTGATAAACACGCCAGCCCTCTTGGGCAGCTAGCGCAAGGAGGAGTCGCATGGACTCCATCCGTGCCACGGGAGCAAAGGCGTCGTCGAAGTCGACCCCCTCCTGCTGCACGAAACCTCGTGCCACCAAGCGAGCCTTGTGCTTGACGATGGCGCCGGCTTCATCCCTCTTCAGCTTGTACACCCACTTAAGGGTGATCGCACGGTGACCACGAGGAAGGTCAGCAAGCTCCTAGGTGCGGTTCTTCTCAACCGCATCCATCTCCAACTGCATCGCGGCGCGCCATGCCGCGTGTCTTCGGCCTCAGCAAACGACCGAGGCTCGCCGTCGTCACACGCAAGGTGCAACTGCGCCTCCAGATCGTGAGGCACCAGTCCCGGCACCGGCTGGTCGCCGAGAAGGTTTTCTATCATACGGTACCGCAATGGCTCGCCGTCGTGGTACGCGTCGATGCGCTCCTCGTCGTGAGAGAGCGAAGTAGCGAGCTCAACTAGGCTGTGCTCGACACGAGCTGGTGTTGGAGTAGACGCGCCCGGAGAGGTGCCTGTCGGTGCTGGTGCCGGCTGTGGTGGAGCTGGCGAAGAACTCATCGCAGCCAAGGTCCTGGCTGGAGAGTATGGTGCTATCGGAGTAGCAGGCGCCGGGGTGGGTGGAGGCTCGGGGACTGGGGTAGACGCGCTCATCGAAGAAGAGCTGCCTACTCCCCAGCTCCCTCGAAGTGGACGTACTCGACAGTGAAGTCGTCGTACGTCGAAGCCGAGCCGTCGTCCATCGCCTTGTCCCACGCCCATCCTCGCCCTTCGTTGAACACAACGTCGCGCGCCGTGCGCACACGCTGTGTCTTCGGGTCGAGGATGCGGTAGGCCTTCGAGCACTCCGCGTAGCCGATGAACACTCCCGGAGTGCTCCTGTCGTCGAGCTTGCTGATATGGCCAAGCTCGGCGAACGCGAGGCAGCCGAAGACCCGCAAGTGGGAGACCGCCGGCTTGCTTCCATGCCAAGCCTCGTACGGCGTCCTACCATCGAGCGCCTTGGTAGGCGAGCGGTTGAGGATGTAGATGGCCGACACCACCGCCTCTCCCCAGAAGACAGCCGGCATCCCCCTCTGCTTGAGAAGGGCCCGAGCCATCCCCACAACCGTCTGGTTGCGCCGCTCGACGACGCCATTCTGCTGTGGGCTGTACGGCGTGGAGTAGTGGCGCTGAATGCCCTCATCAGCGCAGTACGACGCGAATTCAGCCGCTGTGAATTCGCCGCCGTTGTCGGTGCGCAGCACGCGCAGCTTGTGGCCGCACTCCGCCTCCGCAGCAGCCTGCGCGCGCCTGATGGCGTCCGCAGCCTCTCCCTTGCTGCCGAGGACCATCACCCACATGTAGCGGGAGAAGTCGTCGACGAGCAGCAAGAAGTAGCGTCGTCCTCCTGGTGTGGCCGGTGTCACCGGGCCACACAAGTCCCCGTGCACAAGCTCGAGCCTCTCCTTGGCTCGAAAGCTCGCCCGCTGGGGAAAGGGGAGTCGCCTCTGCTTTGTCAACATGCAGACGTCGCAGAGCTGCTCCACATGGTCAAGACACGGCAGGCCTCGCACTATCTCCGTGGCACTAAGCCGCTTCAGGGCCTCAAAGTGAAGGTGCCCAAAACGCTCGTGCCACTGTCACGCCTCGTCGTCCCAACGAGCAGCGAGACAGAGGGGTTGTGCCACCTGCACGTTAAGGACATAGAGTCGATTTGCGCTTCTGGATACCTTGGCAAGAAGGCGACGACGGCGATCCCAAATCCTCATGACTCCATCCTCAATCACCACGCGAACCGTTCTCATCCAGCTATCCCAAGCTAATGATGGAGTTCCTCAACGCGGGGATGTAGTAGACTCCGGTGAGCAGCCTGTGCTCACCAGACACGGCGGTGAAGATGACGGAGCCGATGCCCTTGATCTCCACGCTGGAGGCATCCCCAAACTTGACGGAGCCTCGGACGCTAGAGTCAAGCTCGGTGAAGAACTCCCGTCGACCGGTCATGTGATGGGTGGCACCGGTGTCGAGGCACCACCCGTCAGTCTTGTCGTTGCCGGAGCCATCGCCGAGGAGGGCGTGTGCTTTTGGCTCATCAAGGTGGAGGAGAGCCGCTGCGGCCGGTGCCGCTGGAGGTAGCTCGATGCTTGCATGTGCCATGAACAGAGCTGGCTCCTCCTCCTCCGCCTGCGCGACGTGGGCTTAGCCGCCTCGTGGCTGTCGACAGTCCTTGGCCCAATGGCCAAGCGGCCGCAGTTGCGGCAGGTGTCGTCTCGTGCCGGCTTGTGCTTGCCGGCGGCGCTGCCCTGGGCGCCTTCGCGGGCATCACCCTCGGCATGTCCTCACGCCCCGGCCTAGGCGTCTCTGTGCGGCTTGCCACGCTTGCGGCCGCCTGTCGCGGAAGAAGGCTCCGCCTTCTTCCGGTCACCTTGGCAGGCAGCCCACTGCTCCCGAGTGAGAAGGAGCTTCCCGCCAGTGGTGATGGGCCCCGAGAGAGACTGTGGCTCATCGCTATCGACAACCTTAAGGCGACCTATCGCCTCCTCGATCGACATCGTGGAGAGATCCAGCAGGGACTCGATCGAGCGAGCCATATGCTTGTACTTCTCGGGGACACAGCGGAAGAGCTTTTCGACAGCTCTCTCCTCGCCGTAGGTGTCATCTCCGAACTGCACCATCTTCTGCAACAGAGTGTTGAGACGGAGAGCAAAGTCATCAACGTCCTCACCTGGCTTGAAGGCTAGGTTCTCCCACTCCTTGCAAAGTGCCTGCAGTGTGGACTTGAGGGCGCGGGCGCTGCCGATGCGTGCCGCAGGGATGGCGTCCCAAGCCTCCTTGGCAGTCTGCTTGTTGGTAAGCGAGAACTGCATCTCGGGCAGGACTGCAGCGATGAGGGCATCCAGCGCCCGTCGATCTTGGTCGTAGTCGACGTCGCCGTACCGGACTGCCTCCCACATGTGCTGCACCTAGAGCTTTACCCTCATCACTGCAGCCCACTCGACGTAGTTGGTCTTAGTGAGGGTAGGCCACCCACCGTCGGGGCCGACGTCCCGGACAACAGCCTAGAACCCGTGGTAACCACGGTACCGATCCGGGGAGAGAGAGCCACGCTGCCTGTGAAAGCCGCGCTCTCCATCGACCCGTTCGCCACCGTTGCCGTGCGTGCCTCCTCCTGGAGCGCCACCGCCGTGCGCGCCTCCTCCAGGAGCGCCGTCGGCGCGTCCGCGCCTGTCTGGGCTGCCGCCGCGCTCGTGGACGTGCGTGGCTGCCCACTGCACCGCCCGCGCCCGCGCTGCCTCCCTCCCTAGCAGCTCGAGGTCCGCGTCGGCGCTGCTGTCGTCGTAAACGGAGCTGCTGATCTTTGCCGCTATGAGCCTCGACCTCGCCTTTGCCGCTGCCGCCTTTTGCATCCGCCCGCCGCCACCGCTTCCGCCTCCGCTGCCGTTGCGCCAACTCTGCCATTGCCGGCCCTCGATGTTCTTCTTGCCGCCAGCTTGGCAATGTATGCTGCCGCCGCTTCCGCTCGCGTTCCTCTCACAGCATGCAAGTTCGGCCTCCGCCGACGCGCAGTGTGCTCGAGGCGACCGAAAGGCCGAGACATCCTATAGACATGACGCGCGCTCTTGGGGGTTCTTTGCGTGGGGAGAGGGCTGCTTCAGACGAGCTGCGCAGAGGGAGAGGAGTGAGCAGGAGCGGCCGGAGCTGCTGCTGCTCCCAGCTGGGGCTGTTGTGAGGCTGGGAAAGGAGATGAGCAGAAGATGCTCATGCTACAGGATAGTACGGCTCCGATACCACTTGTTAGTCGCTGAATTCTTACTCTTGGTAGTAGCAGAATTCTTACTCTCATCGAGAGAGGATGACACTAGGAGTTTGAGCAATTTTCTGGTTTATTTCTCACACAATGCCATGCCAACCTGAGGGGTTGAGGATACATATTTATAGGCTGCTAGCCAGCCAAGCATATGCCAAGATGCTAGTCCTAGATGCTAAGATGCTGTCCTAGATGCTGTCCTAGATGCTAGTCCTAGATGCTAGTCCTAGATGTTGTCCTAGATGCTGTCCTAGATGTTAGTCCTAGATGCTAAGATGTTATCCTAGCCAGTCAAGGATGTTGTCCTTGATGGGCAGCAAGACCACCATGCTGCCACAAGGACCATATGTTACAGCCCCACAAAGACTAGCAAACAGAGAGACTTATCCATCAGATTATACCAAACATAAAACCATACCTCTTTGAGAAGTGTGAGCACCCTACCAACCATTGTGGAAGTCTTCGGATCATGCAGTTACAGGGGGGAGTCAGTATATTCAAAAGCATGGTACTCACAAGAGAATAGAACAATAAAGCTCAGACCATAATGCCTGTGAAATCACACACAGATATACAAGAGATGCAACCATTTTGGGCACATCAAAAGAAAGTTTCATTTTCATATCATAAAAACTAATATTAAAAAATTCTTAAACGGAAAAAGAGAGAGACAGAGACAGACAACAAAACATGGTGTTCAGTTCTTCTGCAGCCTCCTTATTGTTTGCAACAATAAAGCCCTGGCAATGTACTTTGCTTTTTAGTATGATTGGTCACGGTGAATCGCATCATTTGGGTTCCATAACATTTGGAGTCAGTATTTATTTGGAGCAGCCACAAGAACGAAAGGTATGGACTTTTTAGATGTTCACATATTATTATTCTTGACTTGATACGTTAAAATGATTTCCACAAATATTTCAATCCAAGGCTTCATCAGAGTGAAACAACAAAATCAGGTTGACCATAGTTGACCTTCTGACGATAAAAGGACAAGTATGTATACCTTTCCACTTCCTGGACCAGCAACAATCATTAGTGGAACAGCCACATCATTACATGCAGCCTCCTTCTGCCTATCATTCAAGGAGTGCAAATATTCATAGTACTTCTTTGGAGCACACGCTTCATCTTCCTCCTTTTCTAGTTCCATATCTTGCTGCTCCTCCTGGCCCTTAGCAGCAGAGATATCAGCGTGCCCCTAGTGAATGGAGGCATCAACCTCCTCAACGAGTGCATCGACAAGCTAAATATGTCCCAAGAGAAAAGGAATCAAATGGACTCAGTTAGAAACTTCATTCCAGACCAGAACCACTCAGTGCAAATTTCCATTTTGTACTGATCCTTATTTCTAGACACAGGAAACAAGAACTGCCCAACATCCTACAACTATTAGGCATTCCATTGTCTGAAGAAAAAAGCTATACCTCTCCGTCCCCCTTTGCAATGGAAATTTCTGGGGAAACTGAAGGATCACCGCACAATGCTACCAATCCATCTTTCTCCTCCATCCCCTTGAGCCCCTACTGATACTTGGCATGAGCTTTGGTGTTGTGCTCCTTACTAACGGCATTGATCTTCCAGAATGCATCTTCGAACTAAATTCATCTCAAAAGAAATTCAACAGAGATTAAACACAATAAATTTCTCCTACAAATCAGGCACATGGACATAGTAAAATTTCAAGTTTTCAAGAAACAATGAATCCCAAATTGTCCATGTTCATTTCCTATCTTCACCACACACAATAAACATGAATTTGCTATGTTTCACAGACTAACACCTTTTTCAGTTCATGAAAAAAACAAATAGAGAGAAGTTACTCTGAAGCACTCTCCTAATTTTAGGATTCTCCCCCAATCTATAACAATCCCATGCACCATACTCCATACAAGAACTTCTCAATTTCCTCCTCTGATTCATGGAATCAGAAACCAGCATCATGAACACAAAATATTCACATACCTCCACACCCTCCGCTGTGATGGAAATAGCAGGGGGGAGTGAAGCATCACCGCAGGACAGCACCAAGCTCTCCTCCTCCTCCTCCTCTTCTTCTTCCTTCGTCCCCTCCTGGCTCTTGGCAGCAGACTGGGCATCACACTCCTCACAGATGGCGCTCACCTCCTCCCAGAAAGCATCGTCAAGCTAATTTCCGTCCAAATGAGAGAGCAACAATATGAGTTCCTTTTTCAAAAATTGACACTAACAGGCGTCTCCACTTCAAAGCAAACCCCAGTTAAACAAACAATAATAATGTCCTCCATGCCTTAGCTCTCCATATTTCCTTAGAATCTGAATATCCAGCATTTGTAAATGAAATACACCCGCAGGATTCCTAACCCCATTTCCAGGCACTTCAATGAAACAAGAACTGTACCGTTGATATCTCTGTTCCGGCGGCGTCAATCGTACCCGCTGCCGCCGCGAGCGGCCCTTCGCCCGTCCCCTTATGCTCCTCTGCTGGCTTCTTCTCCTTCTCCTCCTTGTTGGCCGTGGACCGCGCGTGCTCCTCGCAGATGGCGTCCACCTCCCGCAAGAATGCCTCGTTCATGTCATCTTCGTCGTCGTGCAGAAGGAACCCGCAGGGCCTGGAAGCCTTCGGGAGGGGAGTTGTATACCCGTACCCGCCCCGCCGCTCCAGCGCGTTGCCAGTGATGTCGACGAGCGGCCGGCGCGGCGGTGGGCATGGGGATGGGGATGGGGATTGCGGCGGGCGCTTGCAGGGGAGGAGATGGGAGGGTTTGGAGGCACCGCTCGGGTAGAGCGGGAGAGGTGAGGCATTCTCCTTCCAGCGCGACATGGCCGCCCGCCGTCGGCGAGGGTTTGGTTGCAGTGGCGGATGGCGGGATGGGCGGGCACGCGGCGTTTTCGGCCTTTTGAAAGTGGTTTCACATGGACTGGGTTGGAAAGTCTGGAGATTTTTTGGCGTTCATGTAAAAAATTTGCTCAAGCGTATTTGTATCAAATTTTGTATTGAGTCCTAAAACAATCGAAAATATTACGCTCGGGCATCTGTCCGTCTGGACGGATCAATCTGCTCGCACCACTCGCCCGCATCACACGCAAAGCGCCTCCGCCTCACGCCCTCACCCTATTGTTGCTCTTTGCACCGGATCCACTCCGCGGCGAGAGATCCGATGGTTGTGGTAATGCGGCGCCAGCTGCAGAAGCCCCGGATGCCGGAGGCCACGAAGGGGTCTCTGCCAGCCTCATGGTAGGCCGAGTCAATCTAACTCCACACGTCGGCGAGTCTTCATTTCATAAGCAGCAAGTAGATTTTACGCCTGAAAGCGAATGTTGTAAGCGTCTACTTGAAGTGTTACAGATGTTTTAAAAGTATGTTACAAGTGTTTCATATGAATGTTGCAAAAATAAATCGAGATGTTGCACATGTTGCAATGGTTGTACGTGTATGTTGCAAACATTTGTTCCTAATGTTTCATCTTTTTTTAAATGTATGTTACAAGAGTGTTTATGTGGATGTTGCATATGTTTCATACATATGTTGCAAGTGTTTTAATCTGGATGTTTGCGTATGTTTGCAATGGTTTCAAGAGTTTTTTTTAGCTGTTTTCGCAAGTGTTTCAGACGCATGTTTTACGTGTTTCATCTGTCTTCATATGTATGTTGCAAGTGTTGCATCTGGATGTTTCAAAAGTAGATTAGATGTTGCATCTCCCTCATCGCCTTTTGCTGCCTTGCATCCTTCTCATACTACGGAGGGGCGCGACGGGGGCATGTGGAGGGGGCGCGCCGGGGGATGGTGGCGCAAACGCGAGGGCACGCTCTCCCTTCTCTGTTACGCGGGCAGGACAGGGATGCCGCGTCATTGATCATACTCTCGTTGGTGGGCCATGACACCAACCACGATTGGTGGAATCGTTTAACTGTTGGTTGGTGGGAGCTGCGTCTGGACACGTCCTGGGTGCCGGACGTCCGAGCGCTAGCATCTCCGTAAAACAATTGGTGGTCAAATTATTAATACTAGCAAATATGTCCGTGCGTTGCAGCGGGAGAAAAAATGGGCTGGGATTTTTTCTCACGTTACAAAGCACATAAATATTTTCATACCATCTATATGCATTGATATAGTCAAATATTGATTTCTATGACTTTCTTTGTGGGCCCATAATCAAGAACCGATATATCCGCTGATGATCATGACGAGAGACCTTTTAAGTTTTCCGCATGTAATCTTTGTTGGAGATTGCACTCAGTTTAGAGACAAACTTATTTAGACTAGATGGAACAACAAACTGGTCAATATTTCAGTATAAAGTTTGATTAGTTGATCACTAGTTTAACCGGTTATAATAAAATAATTATTTTACTAATAAAACTGCATTAACATCTTGGTAGTTGGAATCTTCTTCTTAATTAAAAGAGGGTCAAGAGTTAAAAGATCCATATCATTATATTTATATTTTTTTAAAATTTTATGAAAACAATAGAACAAATTAGAACGGAAACAATATAGAAAATCAAACGAAGAAAAAGTCAACATTCGGAGACCGAAAGTGACAACAGAAAAAGGTAAAAATGAAGTAGAACGTGGAAAAACGGACAAGAAAACATAAAGGAACAAAACATGAAAAAAGAAACTTAAACCCACAGGACATCGGACATAATACATAACTTGAAAAATCTGGAAACTGTATTGAATAAAAACCATACATCCTCCGAGATAAAAAAATAGAAAAAAAGACCAAAACTAAGAAATTCTTTGTGTTATATTAGAATCGGACTCCGTATCATTGCTAGACGCGTGTTGTTCTAACACATATGAGCATGGATTAAATATGTTTTGGAATCGGACTCCATATTGCGTTAGACAAGAGCTATTCTAGGCTGTGTTTAGTTCCAAAAAGTTTCTCAAAAAGTGCTACAATAACCATCACATCGAATCTTACGATACGTGCATGGAGCATTAAATGTAGACGAAAAAAACTAATTGCACAGTTTGGTTGGAAATCGCGAGACGAACATTTTAAGCCTAATTAGTCCATGATTGAACACTAATTGCCAAACAAAAATAAAAGTGCTACAGTAGCCAAATTCTCAAATTTCGCGAACTAAACACATCCCTAATTCATATGAGCATGAGTTATATATATAATTCCGAACATAATAAACTCTCCATTGTCCCATAGTTGGAGAGAGACGGACCAAAAATGGATGGAAGAAAAAAATAGGCTAAAATTTTACCTCTTTATTATTACTAGCAAATATACCCGTACATTACAATGGGAAAAAAAATTAAACATTCATACAAAATGATAATGTGAATGATACATATGTACTTATATTTTATGTTTTTATAATTTATTTTGTGATGACCGTCACATCTGACAATAAATAACAATGTCCTATTAAACATGTATCGAATTAAAATATACAATTGTATATTTTTCCTTCTATTGCAAAGTGCATAATTATTTAGATATAAATATATCATAACTTTAATACTGCCCATGTTTCTATGACTAAATATCGCCCTTTGTAGCTTTTTTTGACGCATCATATCAATCTCAACCTTTTTATTGATGTGTAAAGGATTGGTCTGTCCGCCAATGATTATGACAGGTCACCTCTGCATATTCTGAGTCTGGCACGTTCTCGGTCATCGCCGAACCTATATGTATGCAACATATACAAGGATGATTTAACACACCTATAGACAAAAGCATAACCTAAAGATTGATAACATCTATGGATAGATCACATTTTTATGAAGCTAAGAAAACTGGTTTGGCATTTTTCTGATTTTTCTATGATTTTTTACGAATTTTGTAAGATCTCAGTTTTTATATAAAAAGAGAAAACGAAAGAAAAGGAAAAAGGCTTGCATGGGATTGGTCTAGCCCACAACGAAGCCAGCCCAACTGCAAGGATTCAGCCCAAGTTGAAAAGAAGCCCAGCAGGAGAGGCCCACTCGAATCTAAACATTTTGAATCAGGAACCCTGATCTATTTTCAAAACTATTAAAGCCCTCCCTCCTTTTATTTCTCTCTGACATCTTTACATCTGGAACCCTGTATTTCTTTCTATTCTTTTCTCCACTCCTAATCTCAGTTTGCAACGTTAAATCGATGGACACGGACACTGAGCATCTCCGAGACCGAGCCAGTGACGGAGGTAGGACTGGACGAAAATATTTTGATGGCAGAAATTTTACCTCTTTAGTATTAGGTATAGATATGTAATTAACATTGTATTTTTTGACAAATATGTAATTAACATTGTTCGTGCCACTTGGGTACAGATGATATCTCACTCCTTGAAAAAAATGAATTGAGATTTTACCCTTCTTAAACTTGGCACTTGGGCAACTATGGAATTTATGCAATTAGGTTTCTATCAATTCCTACACAACCTAATGCACATTCATACATCACATAATTCCTACACCACTGGCCCTATTTGCTTCGCTTGAACTACTTCAGCAGTACTTTTCTATGAATGAATAGTGTTTTTCTCTCACAATAAATCAGCATAAGCATCAGTGTCGGTGTGAAAAGTGACCAACACATAAATCAGCATAAGCATCAGTGTCAGTGCGAAAAGTGACCAACACAGGGTTTATACTAGTTCAGGCAACATGCCCTACGTCCGGTTTGAGTCGGTCGATGACTTTATTCCTGAGCCCAGGTGCTCGAAGTTTGCTGGGGGTTACAAACGAGTGGGAGTAAGATGGGGGTATCAGAGGTCCGGTCGAACTCTGAAATAAAGGGCCAAGAGTGACGAGAGCTCCGTGTGCTAAGTGTTCGAACGTATGCTCTGTCTGGCTTTAGAGAGTCTAAAGCTAGCAGAGAACAAGTCGAAATGATCCGCGTGGTGTCTGTTGTTCGTCGAATCGATCCCCCTTTTGGTACTCTTTGCTAGGGCCACAGACTGCTGTTTGGGGTGTTTGCCCGTGTTTGTACTGCCCGCGACCTGTGCGGTCGGTTGATTTCCCAAGTCAGTGTCGGGTGACCTGAGCCCCCAAGCCCCGTTGGGCTCGATAGAGGTTGGTCTAGTTTCGTGCGTTACCCCGTCCATGGTTTCCGCAACCGGAGGGGCTGAACTAACGTTGCTTGCCTCGATGGCTCGAGCAACGCGCTCGATGAGCTCGCTAACGGGTACGTTCGAGTGGAGTCTAGATCCATCGTTCGTGATGGGATCGGCATAGCCCTCATATGGCATTCCACTGCTCCTTAACCCACGTCCTGGCAGATGCCTAGGTCATTCCAGAGACCGACTCAGGTGGCCCACTGGCCTCCCCTCGATGGAGATTCTATGGGCATGGCTTGAGGTTAGGATCAAACGAGAAGGTTGAGATGACCATGTCTGCTTCTGAGTAGATTGGACGAGGGCCGCTGGGGCTCATCTGCGTTTTCTCCCCTGGCTTTGTTTGACGTGAGGCGGTCTCAAGCCCTTCGTGGGCCGACCTTTGGACCTCGGTCGGTCGTTGCTCATGTCAAATGAGGCAACTACCGCTTCATGACGCAACACGGAGCGTTGTGATGCATTTAACTGCATATGCGATGCTTCAGATGTATGGGATAAATGAATGACTGTATAAATGAATGTGTGAATGCATGTATGAGTATGGATGAATGAATGATCATGTATCAGAAAAATAAAGTAAGAGGGATTGGTAGAGTTACCTTGATGACTCGAGTGATAGGCTTTGAGGAGTTTTTATCGGATATATGCGAATGGGATCCATTTTCATCGTTCATGACAGAGTCAGCATGGCCCACATGGGACGTCCCTTTGCTCCTTACCTGTCTCTAGGCATTTGCCTGAGCCATCTGATCG